TATAGCAGGGCTATGATCTCTTCTGGAGAGTCTGAGGGAGAACTTGTTTTTACACTCATTCAGGTGTTGACATCTTTCAGTTCCATGCAGTTGTGGAAACAAAGTCCCTATTTCCCTGCTGACTGTCAGCTAAGGGCCATTCCCAGCTTCTTGAGGCTGCCCATACTCATTAGCCTGTGGGCCCTCTCCTCCCACTTCAAAGCCAGCAATGAGATGGGTCCTCTCATCTCATTTCTCCTGCCTTCTCTTCTGCCGAATCCCTCTTTGTTCTTCTACTTCCATTTTTATCTCCCCATCTCAAGGTCCCAAACACTAATCATATCTGCAAAGCTGCTTTTGCTATGTAATGTAACATATTTACTCTTTGGGTGACCATTATTCTGCCCTTATAGAGAAATTCCACCACACAGGGAAACTGAGGTTGTTTCAGTGTTACACTAACACTGTGCAGTTTGAACATCCTTACACAATGCCTCAGCCTACAGACAAGCATGAAGGGGAGAGTAGATAGAAATATCCCCTATCTTCTTCTCATGTCCTTTCTGCTCACCGTACTCAGTTATTGAGTTTTCCTTGCCAGATGTGTGAGGTTAAACAGACAGGAAGATGAAGAATTTAGAACTGACTTCTTAACACCAACACTAATTCAATAATTGGAACAAATGCCTTTTCTACTACCTACTCTTGACTTGTCCAAAGTTTAGGGAAGCGATATAAACGGAAGAAAAGAGTAAAGCAGAAACAAAAATGTAAAGCCATTAAAATAAAACAGCAGCATATCCCTCCTTCTTTAACACTTCGGTACGGCGCTCACCGCCGAGAAACCTTGCCACAGCCAGCACTCATAGTTCCACAATATTTTGTGTGTGCATTGACGACGAATCCGTTTTGCTCTTGTGTGATGAGGAAAGCTTTCAAGCACTGAAAGCTTGTTTTACTTTACAGGAGCTTTACTTGTAATGTAATCAGAATAGGTAACATATTACATATATGTTTTTATTACGTTATTTTTAAATGTTACAATTTATTTTGATAAATGAAAAATTGAAGTCAATTCAAAATTATAGTTTTATTTCATTCACATCATAAGAACTAAGCAAGTTTTGAATATTACGATAAATTTTATTCCTTGGTATGATAAATTTCGAAGAATGGGGCAACACATAGGCCAACATTACAGTGTTTACAATAGTATCTAGTACTATACCTTTTATTATATTTTGAGCATACATCTTAATGGATTTTTCCTTTTTGTTTTATCACTATTGTAAGGTGCTGGAAAATGTCTTTCTCTAAAGCACATGAGATTTTCTGATGCTGTACAAGGGTCGTATTGCCTCGATTCGGAGTACTGTTATAGAAGTTTTGTTATTAATGCCAAATGATATGCGGACATTGATATAGTTGTTTTTGTGTTAAATTTATATAAATAATATGCATTCCATATTGAAATGTCTAGTAAGTGAAAAAAGAATTTCTTGTACCATTTCAGTGTTTTTCTTGTGGATGAAACCATATTTATAATTCCATCACTTTTATCAACTATACCCATCGATTTGCTATAGTCTATAATACATGAAGGCTTTTGAATATTTTCACCCGTTTGATATTTTTTCTTTTCACAATCCTTATATTCAGCCGAATGACTTGTGGACAACATCCAAACTTCACGCTTGTCCCGCCATTTCAGTGCGAGCAAATGTCTTGATGATCTAAAACTAAGTTCTCTTTTTTCTAATTTTACTGGCATTTTTGGCATACCTCCCCATCACTGTTTTACTGTCCCACATGCTTTTGTTGCAAAGCTGTCCAAATATTGGAATACTGCAGGATTTGAATACCAATTATCAACAAATAATTGATGACCCTTTCCTAAATAAGGTTGCATCAATGTTACCACAATATTGTCACTTTTACCTAATTTTTCAGAAAATTTTTACACTTCGGTAGTTAAGCCGGTATAAACAATCATATCCAAAACGTATCCTGTTAAACAATCGCACAGCACAAATGATTTTATCCCAAACCTACTTCTCTTGGATGGTATATATTGCTTGAAAAATAATCTTCCTTTAAAAAAGTAAGAGACTCTCATCAATGCATAAAATCCTGAATGGATAAAATGATTTTTTGAATGTTTCATGTAGCTTATCAAAAGGTTCACGGATTTTTGTCAATCGGTCTTCTGAACTTTCAGATTCTTTATCGCTGAAGCAAAGCATCTTTAGCAACATTATGTATCTATCTTGTGACCTATGTTTATTGAATATATCTGTTCTAAGCACTTCATTAGTACTCCAATATTTTTTAATGGATAATTTTTTCACATGAGATTTTATGAGTGTTACTGCAAGGAAAGTATACAGTCCATTTATTGTTGTATCAGACCAATTTTGTAATGAAGGAGATATGTCGCCATGTGAAACTGTATATTGATAGTAACTGTTGCATTTACAATATCTGTCATTAAATTCTCAGAAAAGAATATTTTGAAATAATCCAAAACATTGAATGAATCATTAGTATTTTCTGCTTTAATTCCACTGTCTTCATCAACAAACGTGTATATGTGTGGATCCAAGTTTTCACAGGACCACGTATTTATTATAGAATTTTCTTTTTTCTAGCAAAGAAATAATTACTGAAAAAACAAAATAAAAAAAAGAAAAAGAAAAGAATTTTCTTTTTTCCTCTTTAATTCTTCTGCTTCTGAATCCGATGATAGAATTATTTCCCTCCTCCTTTTTGAAGTAACGCTTTTAAGTTTCAAAACGATGCTGCCTTCACTTGACGACATGTCAGAATCCATTATGGGTCTCAGAATTATAAAAACTAAGATGTAACATAAAAAATAAAAACAGAAAAATCTCGTAAATAGGTAAATTATATTATTACTTACAGGAATCAAAAGTGTACTATAACAACTCCTACTAAGGACTTGTTAAAAGGTCACAGATTCGTAGTAACTTATTAGCTGAACGTACACACTGCAACTGCAGAGACAAAAGCTGTAAAAATAAAAGCTTTTGGCTGTCGACTAAAGTCGACGCTCAGCTGTGCGCCTTCATATCACGGCTGTCGGCTAAAGATGACATTAGGCTGTGCGCATTCATCTGTGGCTGTCGACTACAGTCCACGCTTGTACCGAAGTGGTTAAGAATTAAACCCAAGAAGTTTCCATACGAGAGGTGAGAGGAAGAGCCTAGCTCATTTGAATCATTTATCAAACATCACTGTGTACCACACACAGTGCTACATGATTCCAAAAACCTTTCTTAATTCTTTAAAGTAACCTATATAGTACATATATATTGATTACCTTGTAAATAAGGAAACGCAGTCTTAGAATGCTGGTTGTTACCTAAGGAGACAAGTGTCAAAGCTATATGTAAATCTAGATCTGCTGGATGCCCCAGCCCAAGGAAATTTCCTCTCCCTGACTTTCCATAGCAAGAAGGCAAGATTAAGGCTTGTTATAATCACCACACTGTACCCTTCAGTGTTGTTAAATGACAGTGTCGGTGGTATTGCTCTCCTTTCCCAACCTTTCTCTTGCCCAGACGTTAGTGACTTCCAAATACAGGTCCAGAGTTATTTAACTTCTTGTAATCATTATACACATAACTCTTCTTCATAGTCATTGTCCCCAGGTTGATTATGTTATCATTCAGGCTAGTCTTTGTGCAACGTGGGCCTGGATTATCTTTTCTTTTCCTTTTTTTTTTAAAAAAACACTTTATTGAGGAATGATTGAGATACAAAAAGCTATATTGAATGTATACAACCTAATGAGTTTGAAGATAAGCTCTTTAAGCTCTTTTTCCTTTTTTTGTTTTTTGTTTTTTTGGGTTTTTTGGCAGTAGGCTTCAAAGAAACAAAGAAAGGTGCTGTGACTGTGGTCTCTGGATGAATCTCTACTGGAAATTACAGGAACAAGGAGACCTAGTTGTAAGCACACATTGTCTCACTGCCATTCCTGTCGCTTCAAGGAGTTCTGGTTATCAGGAAAAAAAAGCCAATTAACAATCTACTTTATTTCTATAGTGATTATTAGTCAACTATAAAATTTCAACATAAAATCCCAGTATCTTATTGCAAGTACAGAGCCCTATGTGACTTGCTCCTGTCTGTCTCTTCAGATGTATCTTGTCTCTCTGCACTCCTCAATCTGCTCCAGCCACACTGGCCAAGGCCGGCTGTCCCCATACCTTGCATGACCACTCCCACATACTCTGCCCCAAGTTCACCCCCAATCTTCCTGTCGCTGCCCTAGCCCCCTGAGGAGCTGCTGAGCACTTGGAATGTGCCTAGTCTGAACTGAAATATGCTGGAAGAAGAAATAAAAATGTGCGCAGGATTTTCAAGACTCAGTAAGAATAAAATAATGCAAAAACATCTCATTGATAATTCCGTATCGATTACATGTTGAAATGATAATAGTTAACATATGTCGGGTTATTATTAAAATTAATTTAACCTGTTTCTTTATACGCTTTATAATGCAAGCAATTCGAAAATGTGAAATTACATTCGTGGTTCGCGCCGTATTTCCACGGGACAGCGCGGCTCCGTCGCTTCGCCCTCTATTCCTCAGCTGCGGACGCTGCACTCTGTCGCCCCCCAACACTCGGGGTCCGAGGTCCTGTGGGGGTCACGCCTGCTGCCACTCCCCCCCACCCCCGAGCACACGCTCGCGACCCTGGGAGGAAGGGTGGCTAGAATCCCCACTTGACAAAACCTGCTTCTCCGTCGAGGGAACTGGTCACACAACCGCGACGCTGTCCCACGGTGAGAGACCTCGCTCCTCGGTTCTCTCTCGGCTCCGAAACGCTCCCCGCGGGCCCGCACTGGGCGCTCCTCCCTCCCGCCACACGGCGGCGCCTCACGAGCGCGGCGGCCGATGGTACCGTCCGTTCCCCCCGCGCCCGGCGGGCAGTGGGTCCTTCCGCTCGTAGAAAAGCATTGTGGGAAAGCGGGCCGGCCTTTCCCGCCTTCCGTGCTCGGTCTGCGCGCTGTGTGCTGGGGGCTCTGGGATGGCGACCGGCTCGGGCGGGCCGCGTGGGCTCCCACGCCGCGACGCGGGGCTGGAGCCCGCCACCCTGAGCCTGGAGAAGCGCCCGCGGCGGCGTCCGAGGGTTCCTGGCCGTGAACGCGCGGAGGGCGGCAGCCTGGCCTCGGCCACAGTCCCTGCGGCACCTCGGGAGGGCCGTAGGCGGCCTTCGGCCTGCGTCCCCTTGCCCGGAAATGCGGAGAGTCGTTAACTGGATTTGTATTTATTGATCATCGACTGTGTGCCGGGGAGTTTTTAATAGAAGCGGTCTGGGGTTTTTTTCGTGTAAAAAGGCTGCGCGGTATAGCTGTCTTGACGCCTCCCCTGCCCCGGTGTAAAATCAGTGTGGAAGCAAAGCGCCATTCAAGGTGCACGTGATTTCAGCCGTTTCTAGGTGCAAGCACTCTGCGGGCATTGAGTATCGCCAGTTCTGCAGGTGAGTTTCCATGTTGCGAGAAAGACCAGCTGCTTCGGGCTTTTAAGAATTTTAACCAGCAACCTAAAACACTTTGCATTTTAATTTTCATTACGGAGTCGGTTTTGAACCATAGGAGGAAATTTTTCCGCAGAAAAATTGTTCCCATTCAACCTTTTATCAGAACAGTTAATTCCTGGGCCAGTCAGCAACTTTACGCAGTAGATGGAGCCGACGTTACTCAGTTTAAATGTAGCCTTTGTGTTGCCCATTCACTTTCGAAACTAGTGGATGTGGTGTCAAAAAAGGCATAAATTAAATACTTTGCAGCCTTTTCCTGCCCTTAAATTTGATATCTTTGGTGTAGGAGCTGCATAAGTAACAGTTAATGCTTTGTTTACACATGTGATCTTGAGCCTGCCAGCATGAAGCATATGATTTCTTTTAACCAGTTTTAACTAATTTTTGTTCAGGTAGAAGATGGATGCTTGAAGCATAGGCTGCTGCTAGCTCAGAACCACGTGGGAACACCCAGGTGACTTAAGGTAATATTGTCATTACACTATAAGGCACTTTGTAATAAGGCTTTCACCACCTTTTAAATTGAGGTGCCCTCTCTAGTTTTAAATTGGTATTAATGGCTCATTGGTGTACTACATCTGTAGTTATCAAGATGATATTAACAGCAAATGGGACAGCCTCCCAGCTCTTTGTGACAGTTTTGTTTTTTCTCAGTATCCCAGAGGAACAAATATGCACAGTACTGGCATTCTGGATCTCTTAATATTTGTGTTTTTTTGTGTAGATTTTACCTGGCAAATTTCAGGTATCTTGTATCTTGACATTTAGAGCCAAATCTGGAAATACATAACTCATGCAATACTAAAAGCATGTAATGGGAGTTTTATTACCAAGTTCTTTATCGAGATATGACAAATGTAAATACTTGCTAGTTAAATTGAGTGCTGTATTTTTTTTCTCTTAGGAAGTCCTTGGTGAGGATTTTGAAAATTTAATCTTCGCAAGAGTTGAGTGGATCACTTAGAATTTCTGGGAACCTGAGGAGTACTGAAATGATTGCCTTCGAATGGTCCATAAACATACATTTAAGACAATGCAGATATGAATAAATATTTTAATGTGCATGAGACTTCTTTTAAGTAATTAACTGCCAGAAAATAGCTATTACTGAAAAATTAAAGGGTTTCTTTTCCCCCTTCCCCCAGCAACATAAAAGTTGTTAAACCTCAGCAGTTAATATTAACTGCTATTACTGTAATTGGTAGCCTTAAGATAGCTTGTGCTTGGCTCAAAGAGAAATAAATGCTTTCTTCCAATGACTCATGATAGAACTAGAGTAGGTGATTTATAGTTCAAATGTGTACTTTAAAACTTGCATTCACTGCATACCAACTGTTTTCCCAAAAATAAGACAGGGTCTAATATTTATTTTTCCTCAAGACACCCTAGGTCTTATATTCAGGGGATGTGTTATTTTTTTTTTAAGTACAGTACAACAATCTACATTTATTCAAGTATAGTTGTCTTCTTCTGGAACATCATCGTAACTCTCCAAACCCCAAATTCCATCCTGAATTTCTTGCAACTATTTCCTTTAGAGCCATTGGCCCCAGTCTCTCGAGCAATAGAGCTTTCATGGGGCAGATGAGAAGGGCTGCTCCTCTTTGCGACAAAATGCATGGGTTGTGCAAATATGCTATGTAGCCACGCCCATCACTAGGTCTTATTTTCAGGGAAACGCGGTACATTGTTCATGTTCACTTAAGGTTGGCTTAAACTTTGCAGGAAAGAACAAATCGCATGTTCAGGCATTCAAAGATTTTATTGAAAGTGATGTACTAGGAGCTGAGAACACAATGGTAAGCACAACACGATTCCTCCCTTTGGCAGCTTACAGCTGAGTGGAGGGAATGTCATCACAAATGCAAAACTTCCATCCATCATGAGATGAATCCCATGGTAGGATTTGACCAAGTCAGGGAAACCTGAGAAAGCAGAGTTAAGACTGAAGGTAGGGTTTGGGGTGGAGAGGAGCAAAGCAAAATTGGGGGAATGACACTGAGACCTTTGGCTAGAAAAAAGGTAATGACCATGAGTCTAATACATGTGACAGTTTCGGCTGCTTTCCCTCTTCAGTGCCCTGTTTGGAATTGAGTGCATAATGAGGCTTGTAAGATGGCTATTATGGGAGGTGGGATTGATTACGAGTCTTAAAAGAGGTAGGTAAAGAACCCAGACCACTTAAGGCTCCCAGCTTTTTTAAAACATGCAAGGGAAATACATGGTAGAAATCAGATTTGTAAGAAAGGGATGTAAGTGGTCCCATTAGGCCACTACTGTTTAGGCAAGAGATGAGCAGCTTGGAATAGTGGCAAAATTAGTTAAATAAGATTGTTTATAGTTTGAGGGCAAAGCCAATTAGGAGGTGTTCATAATGAGTGGTGGGTGTCTCACTTTGAACATTCACAAGCATAATGGCACTGGACCTAGCTAGGGAGTGGCATATAACTAGTTGAATTTAAATTACTCTCCTGGCAGAACACAACTCTAGTCTAACCTTAAGGCCATGGATATAAATGAGATCTGCCTGGGTTACAGGAAGCAAGCCTAGGTCTGAAATTTGAGAAACTTCAATAACTAATGGGCAAGGTAGAACAGGATGAGTTGCAAAGGATGGTCTGAATGGTAGGAACAAAACAGCCTTACAGTACAGAAACATTACGAGTCCTAAAAAGTCTCCTTGGGTTCTAAGTGACATGGTGATTTTAGTGGAGTAGTAAGATTCCATATTAGAAATAGTTTAAAATGGGGATTAGATGAATGGAGGGCACTGACCACAGAGAGTCCTCTGTGAGAACTAATAGTAAGAAAAAATAGTAGCTAGAGAGGGATTTGTGGTTGTCAATGTTGTGGCTTATTTTTTACATTTAAGTCAAGTTTCAAACCAAGTAGCAAGGATCTAGCTTAAAGAGGTGGGATACAGTAACCCAGGAGAGAGCAGAGACAAATCCTGAGAAGAGGGGCTCCAAAAGCACAGGTAGAGGGACAAGAAAGGGACTTAGAGTTCATGGCAGCTGTGAAAAGTATGTGATAAATGGAAGATAAAAGGTGTCTTGCATAAATACTTTCCCTGTAAGTTGCAAAGTCATCTGGGGAGAGGAAAGGTCTAAAATAGCTATTGGGGAGAGCTGGCAAGTTGGATGGCCAGAGAGGGTTAAGGGACTGAAATCCACACTTAGCCTTTTCTTTTTTTCTGAAAACACAAGGACACTTAAGAACTTAAAAGCAACACTTAACAAAGCTTTTTACATCTTTTGTAAATAACTAGTAGAACATAACACCACAAAATACAGTATTACAAAGAACTTAATACTTATAGGAATAAAAATATCTGCAGTCTGGAAGTGAAGCCTCAGTCCTTGTGCATCTGGCCACTCTGGGAATCACCCAGAGTTGGGAAGACTTCTTCCACTTGGTGTAGTATTGCACAACACTCGAGCTGCAGTCCAGAATTCCAGAACCTTGATCAGAAGCATCTGGTCTTGGTAGTGGCAGATGCAGGCACAAGATACTTTGTTTCAGGAAGGAAAATGTGGCATCAAGTGAATTTTTACAAAACTATCCTTCCAGTTAAAAAGGCCCTTCAGCACAAGTATGCTGTAGCTTAGCCTTTAAAAGAATCAAAAGATGCTGAAGAAACACTTGCAGGTCCAAGAAATTTGAATAACCTAATTCACAGTTTCAAAAGTACCAGTGGCACATACACCCTCCCCACCCCCATCCCTGGCCCTTCTCCATGATCAAGTCTCTAGCTTGAGGCGGGCAGCTTGGACAGTCTTTACTGTTTTTGCTGTGTGTTTCCCAGCTAGATTGTTTGTGGATGTCTGAGACTTTTCTTCAATCAGGCTGTCTTTAGACCCGTTTCTTCTCTAAAAATATATTTGAAAAAAAGATTAAGGAGGAAGTACAGCCAAATCAAGTATTTTTATTAAAAACTCAGATACTACTAAAGCTTTTCTTACATTTAAGATACCAAGTTATAACTCAAGAAAGTGTAATACCAAAAGCTGTTCAAATATTCCCTCTAAATAGATAACAGAAAATAAGCAGTTTATGTGTTTAATCTTTGTTGCTTAATATAGTTAAGTCTGACAGCGGTGTGTCTAATGAGAATTTTATTCATGAAAATTAGGCATAATTAACCCAAAGTAAGTGTCCTTGGGTAGATAATTTCTAAATCAGGCTTTCAACCTTCTCGCTTTTCTAAGCAGGGGCAGAGATTAAGAGAATGGAGACTTGGGTAATTGTTAATCCCCTGATTATATTTTCAGGAGCCACTGAATGAAATAATGTCTTGGGAATAGAGAAACCTGTCATTTGGGGTCAGGGAACTCAAGAGGTCTTATAAATATGAGTGGCCCCATCATTGGAGAAAAGGGGAGCTGAGTTACCAGAGCCCGTGTGCCACATCCAGTACTTCTGGAATTAGGTCTTATGCATCTCCTACAGCCTTAGGTGGGGACCCTGACAATGGCACTAACAGAACTTCACAACAGCTCCCTTCTCTGCTCACTCCTCCTGCTCTTACCTCCAAGTCATAAAATCCTTTATGAAAAGGATTTGTTCTTTAAAATTTAGATTCCATCAAAAAGCCACACTCCAGGATCCAGAAGGCCACGTGTGGCCCCGAGGCCCACAGGTTCCACATGCCACAAGCATGTTTCCTTGCCCAAAAGTATATCTCCACACATAATGGGCTATATACTGTCCAGAATTCTATTATTTTGAGATTCATTTAGGCTAAATACAAATTACCCTTTAAGAAGTAATTGTTCACCTGTTCCTATGACTTGCTTAATTTGTTTTATTGACGTTCAAAGAAGCGCCACTGGAATAACAAGTCTGCCTAGCACAGGAAGTAAGGATCAATCTTTGGGATGGAAGATTTCTAGGTTGCTAGAGGTTGTCTGAAGAGGAAACTAGTGCATGTGACAGAAGAATAGAGACTATAGCAACAGAACCACCAGAAAAGGAGCTAGGAGGTGACCTAAAACAAACACTTGTAGGTTTGTCTACAATTGAATCTGTCCCCTGTTTGCATCCCTCTGTCTGCAGACCAGAAGGAAGGAAGTCGAATCAAGTCCCTGATCTATCCCACTCTTACCAGCCTTTGTGTGGAAAGGCCATGTGAGGTGTAGGGCATGCCACGGCCACAAGTCTGGCACCACGGTGGAACCTGGGAAGGGCAACTCTCCTGCTTCCATTGGTCATTCCAGCTCCTCCACGTGGCAGCCAGATTAATGGCTTCTTTTTGGCACTTAGAATAAAATAAAACCCAAACCCTTTTCCCATAGCCTTTAAGGCTTTGTGTTGCCCCCCCCCCCACCCCACACACACTATGCTCAGTCCATATTGGTCTGTCAGCTCCTCAAATACCCAGGGCCTTTCCAGAGGCAGCATTTTCCCCACGTTTTTCCCGCTGCTTAGATCAGCTTTGTGCCACCCGCAAGGCTGGTTTCTTACCTTCTAGGGCTCAGCTTTAAATGGCACTTTCTGAGATGATTTTTCTGGCCACTCTAAATATCTAAGGTGAGGTCACCCTGTTGATTCTCTAGCGCAGGACTTTGTTTCTTCATAATGCCTACTTAATTTTTAATTGTTTTACCTGTTTAACTTTATATATTATATGTTTAGGCCCAGTTCAGCAAACATTTTTTAGAAAGAGCCAGGTAGTACGCTACATCCTGTCTGTGTCACGTATTACTGTTTGTTTTTGAAAACCCCTTGAAAGTGTAAAAAACATTATTAGCTCCTGGCCTGTACAGAAACAGGCAGCAGACTAGATTGGCCCCTACGCTGTAGTTTGCTGGCTGCTTGGATTTGTTGAATTCAAAAACAGGTGTCCCCGAGAT